TGGATGGATGGATGGATGGATGGATGGATGGATGGAAGGATGATGTATGTTTTGATGGATGGATGATGGAAGGATGGATGATGGAAGGATGATGGATGGATGATCTATTGATGGATGATGTATGGATGATGTATGGATGGATGGATGGATGGATGGATGGATGGATGGATGGATGGATGGATGGATGGATGGATGGAAGGATGATGTATGTTTTGATGGATGGATGGATGATGGATGATGGAAGGATGATGGATGGATGGATGGATGATGGAAGGATGATGGATTTATTTTACATTCTTTAAGAAAAAAAATCTCCCAATCAAGTTTCTGACTTTTCTTTCAGTAAACTCATTTTAGAGAAATGTAGAGGAGTGTAAATAACTCTGATCTCATGTTGTATCAATGCAGGGTATGGTGTATGTCGGCACAGCAGAGGGGGTGGTGAGGGTCCCAACGTTCAACTGCTCCTACTATTGGACCTGTGCTCAGTGTGTTCTGTCCAGAGACCCTTTCTGTGGCTGGGATCCTGTCAGCAGGGCCTGTGTGGAGGTCTCTGGAACCCAGAGCAGTCTGTGAGTACTAAACCATGATCATATTGAAAATGTCTCACACAAACAACACAGTACTCAAATAACATGATGTGTCTTCTAATCTAACTTGTTTTAACTTTTATTATATTGACATAAAACTTCAAACTTTGAACTAAGTGAGAGCCAGTAGAAGTGAGACAGAATCCATGTATGTGAAAGAGAGGGAGATAGGTGGATCTGTGATACAGTACCTGGGATCAACGACTCGAAGCAGCTTCCAACAGTAATTTGGGACTAACTTATGTAGAGTCTAGACTGATAAAATGCCCAGATTTTTGTGTAAAAACGATTTAAAATTGGAATAAACAAGCTTTTTTGTTTATAAAAATAGTTTGTGCAGATTTTAGCAAATTTTGACTACACTGATGTAGTGCTACTAAAGAGTTGTTTCCTACTATTTCAGATATAAATGTTGGATTTTTTTAAACTGCAGGAAGAATTTTGACTTGACCTCTATACTCAGGAGGTCAGTGTCTGACTGACACCATACAGCAATGGCGCTAATCCAAAAATTAGCTCCGCAATTTCTAAAGCGCTTATGAAAAAATTTAGGTCCACAACTTCAAAACCGCTTATGCCGTAGAAAAACTAGCGGAAACTAATTTTAAAGCACAAGTTCAATTTGACAATTACTAGCTGACAATTCATGTACAATATATGCACAACGTTGCCAACTAGTGGTGTATGAACTCTTTTACAACTTAATTTACAACTGCCCTTTGCTGGGGTTTTGATTTCCTGAAACAGACCTTTGGCTCATGGTGTAAAAATTAAAATGTTATTGAGGATTGCTAGTTCGGCTGATTCTTTAAAAAGTTGTTGAGGATTGCTAGTTCGGCTG